TCTAAAGTTATTAATATCCTTCTTTGCCCAATGTGGTTGTTTGGGAAACTGCCATAAATGAATCGTTCTTTTGTGTTCTATTTTATCACCACAAATTTTCTTAATGTAGCTATTCATAATAAGAATATCGCACAGCTACCGTAACTATTCAACTGATGGACGACAGCAAACAGTTTTCTTCTGAATAAAGGGACCACCCAGCAGTGGATGTACGATAGACTGAACTAAACATTTCATAGCTTTTCATGTGGCTTCCTGTTGCGTTCGCAACGGTGCATGTAGGGTCTAATTTCATGAAATGTAAATTTTCTTTCATTTTTCCTTGAAGCAATGGAGTAATAACCACCGTTACCTTTACTATGCAAGATGAGCAAGTCAGATCAACTGGTATAGCATAATTGAATAAAGAAATGTTCTTTAAATCGCTTTCCCATAACACCTTATCTGTTTGAGATAATGGGAGAATTGCAGGTGCTGTAAACACAACAAGAGAGCTCACAATGCAGTATTAATTCGATTTTTCAACTGTATGCCCCTACTGTATATTAAGGATGGAATTTCCTAATTTTATCGCACCTCCTACACTGGCGTTGCTTGCATCAATGCTTATTTCTCTGATACTGATCTCAGACTTTGAATAGCAACGCCATTCTTTTCTTTAATCAATATAAAAATTCTATTGTTGAGTTTCATTTCAATCAGAAACTTTTCTCAACTATGTACTGACCTTTCCACTTCGAGCTTTCTCTACAACTTAGCGCATAAAACATCGCATCTTGAGCTTGCCTACGGATTGTAAAATTAGAGAGAATGAAACGGAGTAATAAGTGAAATAACAGAACTCTATGTTGTTACTAGTTCAGTTGCATGCGCATCTCCAATGCCAAGGTGGACAATGTGGCATCCTCTTAAGCTCTGCTGATACCTTCACCTAAAAAAGTGAACACCTGTCCTGTTCCTCATACGACCGGAATAGATCTGCTTCCGCAGAATCAATCTCTAATTCAACAATTGTTGACATAAACTTTTCCTTCCCTAAGTCCTCTCTCTGAGCGCCTAACAAATATAAATCTTAGCTCGAAAACAAAATTAGGGAAATTTTGCTTGGGCTTCTCCACATGTATACACATGAAAGCCTAATAAAAATAAATCTAAAGAATGGGAAAATGTAAGAAAAATTGGCGATCAAGAGGTCAACTCAAATCAAAACATAGTATCCTTTTCGAAACTATGTTGTAGACAACATACATAACGAACAGCTAGTCTTGGGTCTGCAAGGAGCTTTGGGTGCGAGAGCTAGAGCGATTTTTTCGCTTTTTCGTATGCATTTCTCAGTTAAAATCTGTTATTTGTTATATGTCATACCGCTCTTTTTAAAGACGC